CCCCAAAACCCCAAAACCCCAAAACCCCAAAACCCCAAAACCCCATAAAAAATCCGCAACATTGAAACTAATAATAATAAGTTTAACTGAAATGTCAGACCGACTAAATGCCCGCAAATTATGGTTAGTCAAGGTAGCGGTCTACCAAGACCAGCTAAATACATTCTTTAACTCCTACCTTGGCTTGCGCATAAGAAGAAGTAGAGAATTGAGGAGATCTATTGCAGAGAGAAGAGACAATGATAATTTAGTAGATCCTCTAATTGACTCAATTGCCAATATCTCTCTTAATACAGAAGACCAAGATCCCCCACAAGAAGATGAAGGTGATCTTTGACCCAAGGAAGATGCTAATATCCTTGAAAACTCTTGCAATCTCTCAAATGAAGAAAGACAAGAAGTTTCTTCATCAAACTCAGCACCTATTGGGAGACAGAAGTTAATGAATGACTCATCCTCTTCTAAGTTGCAGGAAGATTCTTCCTCCTCCAAAGAAAATCCTAAAGAGGAAACAAAAGAGGAGTACCAACCTTGCAAAAAGGTTAGACCTGGGATGCATACGATCGAGGAACTAGATGGAGAGGAATCTGGGCAAGAGCAACTATCAGGTGGAGGTGATTGGCATGAAGAAGATAAAGAAAACAGAGATCATAATAGAACCCAGATGATCTGAGAAAGACTTGAAAATGAGGATTTTGATATCAAAATTAACGAAAACAAAGACGAGGTAACTTTACCATCTCATTATCTAGCTGATCTTGACATATCGCAGATTATATCGCGGATTCCGAGAGGATTTAAGTTTGCTTCTTGATCGTCTTTGCGAGATAAAATCAAGGATATCTACCCTTAGACTAAATGGAAATCGAACAATTGTTGATAAGCTGCTAGTTTTTCTTACTGACGACATATCTTTTTTAGGTAAATATTTCCTTAATAAATCATCAATTGTAAATATTTCACTTCACAATTGGATGATTTCCTTTGATACTTTTCAAAGGTTCTTGGAATTTGTGGCTCCATTGGAAGTATTATCAATTCATAATTGCCAGTTTCTTCTGAATTTTAAATACTTTAATGAAATTGTATTACCAGCCAGTCAAGAGAAGGTGGCCAACAAAATGATATCCAAGATTATTGTTGGCAAAGTTACTTTTGGAAAGAGAAATAGTGCAAGAACTACCCCACCTAAAAATATTGAATATCTTTGCATTCTTCTAAATTTTTATCTTAATTTTGCTAAAGAAGAAGTGATATTAGAAGATAGCAAAAACTATGGCTTTGAAGAAGCCGATATTGCCACAAGAATTTCAGAGAGTCATAAAGTAACAGTAAAGGGCACAGAAGATGGTGTAAGATGTCATTTTCTTTCCTCCATCTAGAAAGAAAAGAGTAAACTGCCGAATGCTTAAGAACTTAACAGCCTAATTCTTTGAATCTAAATATTTTATGGTTAAGTTCGCAGCTCTTAATACATCAATCTTAACATTGGTCCAGTAGATAATTGTGGGGGATTAGTGGAACCATTAAGGATTGGGATGGTATTCAAAAAATTTGGAATTATACCTTCTACAATGAATTTAGGATTATGACTGGAATCTCCCAGCTCTATTGACTGGGCTCTATTGAGTCCAAAGCAAAACAGAGAGAACATATGTAGAATTATGTTCGAAGAAAATGATTTTCCAAGCATGTATATCCAAATCTAGGCTGTCTTGTCTTTGTACTCAACAGGAAGAACCACTAGTATCCTTGTTGATTCTGAAGATGATGATACACATCTTGTGTCAATCTTTGAAGGTTATCAGATCCCACATGCCATTGAGAAAATCCTTCTTTATGAAAGAGATCTTACTGATTACTTGTGCAAAATCTTTAAGGACAATGAATATCATTTAGAGACCACTATCTAGAATCAAACATTTCGATATCAAAGAGAAGCTAAGCTAATTTGCTGATGATTATGAGGCAGAACTCAAGAAAGCAGGAGAAGGAGGCGAGCTAGAAGAGTCATACGCATTGCTAGATGGACGGCTACTCAAGATCTCCACTCAAAGATTCCAATGCCCAGAGTTCTTGTTTCAGCCAGATTTGGGAGGCAGAGAATGCAAGAGCGTCCGCCAGTCGACCTACGACTCCATCATGACTTATGATTTGAATGTCAGGAATGCCTTATACGCTAACATCATTCTCTCCCAAGGAACCACCATGTTCTCAGGACTCGGAGAGAGGCTCTGCAAGGAAATGAAAAATTGGCTCCACAGAAAATGAAGGTCAAGGCCATTGCGTCCCCAGACAGGAAATACGCAGTATGGAGAGGAAGATCGACTCTGGTGAAGCTATCTATATTAAAGCCCAATACTATTAAAAACTCATCATGAGAAAGATGACTTCATTCTTTTTAATTAATTTACCTTTTTTGAACATATGGGGTTTTGGGGTTTTGGGGTTTTGGGGTTTTGGGGTTTTGGGGTTTTGGGG